TTCTACCCTGGAGATGGAGGCGATACGTTCCTCCGAAACGTCGGTTAACATCACATATACACGGTGCCAAATCCCAGAAGACTGCTTTCTTCATAGTCACCGCCGTGAAAGCCTCAAATCTTACAATTACAGATTTTGTTCAACTAGGTCATTCTTGTAAGATTTGAGGTTTTCACGGCAGTGACTATGAAGAAAGCAGTCTTCTTGGATGTGGTGCCGTGTAGATATTGTGTTAAACGACGTTTTGGAGGAATGTATCGCCTCCATCTTCATGGTAGAAGACAAGAAGAAATCAGTGAGCAATCCAGCATGAGCAGGTGCACGCTGGTTCACTCGCAGATTTCTTCTTGTCTCCTACCATGAAGATGGAGGCGATACATTCCTCCGAAACGTCATTTAACACAATATCTACATGGCGCCACATCCCAGAAGACTGCTTTCTTCATAGCTCATTCTTCTCCACTCATTTTATATGATTTATTTAGTGACTCTGTCAGTAGGTCACACTGCATTACATGCTGCTTCTTTAATCAGGGAATTGCGATAAATATGTGCAAAGCATAATGCATATTGTTGCCTCGACAATGAAGGTTCCTGTGATTTGACTGAGTTTATAATTTCATTCTCCTTACAGTCATTTAGAAACATACAAAAGCGCACAGACTGAAGGCTGCAGCAACAATAATATTGACATGCAGTAATGAAGACAAGTAATGGGAAGGTGCATGAGAAATTTTCAGATTTACGAAGTTTAGTTCTCTGACAATAAGCTCCACCTCAAAGACAGCAGTCATCCTGTTGGGATGGTGAGGAGAAAATTAAATTCAGACTGCATCACAAATAACGCAAAGGTAATCTAATGAATGATACCAGTTACTCCAGGAGCCAAAAAGAATTTAATACAAAGTGAATCAAAGACTGCCTTTACCATCAAATTAGGTCCGACAGTTCACTAGGAGGAAGTGTGGAAGGGGAAAACAGACTGCAGTGCAAATAGTGATAATTATTGTGTCCAAATATAGAAGAGGCACTTACATCAATCAGAAAATAATATTTATTTTCATTTTCATAAATTTGGTGGACAAATTATGTGGTGGGGGCAGTTACATGAGTAAACATAGAGATGCTTTAAAATTCTCCCATTCCTACTTACCTCACAGCATCTCGCGTGTTACACTCAGTGACAGACACTGTTGCAAAACTATGCCAAAATGTATTAATTACCTTTCCATTTATAAGATATGATGAAACCGCAGAAGATCTACGTTGCTGGATTTTAATAATGCGAGTGAACTCTTTCTCTGAACCATCCTCCAAATTAAACACAGCTGTCACTGAAGCTCTGTAACATAACACATATACAATTTTCAGAAGTGATTTGGCAAGAATATGTTAACCTCAACATATGACATTCACATCCTATATATAAGAAAATAGTTTCTTAAATAGCAGGTAAAGCGTTAGGGTAAAGCAACTGGAACGATTATTCTAGGATTCCAACTTGGGAGAAGGCTCTGTAAGGAAGCGATATGATGTTTCATATATACACTACAGGTATAAGGAAAAGTACTACAACCAGATCAGTAAAGGAACGTGAACAAATTAAAAAAACCCGTAAGAAGGAAAAAAAAAGTAAAGCTACCCCTGTAACAGGACAGGGAGGCCTGTAGGGTTATGAGGATCCCACATTTTTTCTAGACAAGCTCACAGATGGAAATACTGTATATACTGTCGCATGTTTCCTTGGCAACGCGACAAGAGATTGTGTGGTCTCAGATCTGGACAAATATTTATTGTGCGATCACTCTCTACACTCACAAATACAATTATTCACACTAATAACGTCTTTGGACGTTTCCTCTTCAGTGTTATATACTCGCACTGCTAATCTCGGTGAAGTGTCTTCTGCTCTGCTGGAGCTCAGCTGTCCTTAGCTCTCATCGGATACGAACTCTGCTGGTCTCTTGTCGAAGAAGGACTGTTATATCCTGCACTCGGACTGACCAGGGAACCCCTTGTCGAAGGGTTTTGTTTCGCCTGCTGCTATGCAACAAATCTCTTGTTGCTGCGGGAATTCAACAATTCTGCCTCTGTTGGGTAGGCAGTTTCCTAGGTAACATGCATTATCACTGCCTGTTGCGCAGTGATGGATGTCCTATAGTCTGGTTTTTAGGCAGCCTGTCACAATACTTCTTAATATAATTAAGTTTATACTATAAAGCAATTTATTAATACTGAATTTCTACATGATTTGTCATCATTCGATGTAGCATTTTACTCTGAACATTATACAGTAAGAATAAAATTAAGTCTACATTATTCTTATTCATGTAAACAGTACCATGTAATATGAAATGCCACTATATACCATGTAAGATATTCCCTGTATGTTCTAGAATATACAAATATGAAGGAACGGGAAATAAATCATGCATTTAATTTTAGCTGGCCTAATTCTCACGCATTTGTTTGAACAATTTACCAATAGGATAATGGTAAAAATAAGATATGAAGCATATCTGAGGAATGAAAAAAGTCATTGTCAATATCCGCATAAAATTTTATAAACACATAGATAACTATCTGAAACTCGCATAATTTTATAATTAGCATAGTGAACTTCAAAAAATTTTTGTAAGCTTTTCTACATACAAACACGTGCAACCATGTGCATGTGCACAAGCATGCATACACAAACACACACCACGTACACAACACACATACCACACATGTGGATATGTGTTAATGTATTAAAATTTGCTTCTGTTCTTGCTCATTCACTCACCACACTCTGTTCAAATTACATTGTCATGATAATTCACGTCATGCTTACCTATCAGAAGCAGGTTTCTTGAAATTTCCTCCATGAATCAGGGTAACAAAATTACTTGCACGTAACATATCCAGTCCAGTTCCCATAACAAACCCAATGGCATCTGTAAAGTTTGATTTACCTACAATACAAAGTATAAACATGATTTAGTATTAACATCAGTAATTTGACCTCCTTTTCATTTGTATGGAAGGAAATAAGAATCATTTAAAATCTGGCTTCCCACTCTCCCCGTCGATAAATTTATATTCCTATAAGTGTTGGTGAAAAGGAGTAAATGAACCACCAGTATACGGTTACAATTCACGGTTGGTGAATGTCCAAATATGAATCAAAGCTGAAATCACTGCACAACTAGGGATTCAGGTTGGCTGACCAGGGTAGCATCCTTTACCTATAATTTGGAGGCTTCATCTCTGATCTCTGATCCAGCATTTGGCTCATTACAAAATAAGGAAGTTTGTTTTACGTGACTTCATCACTAACATTTCTAGACATTCAAAATGTTATAATTTGAAATTATATCTGCAGAAAGTTATTAAAACCTGTTGGATAAAATTGGATTTTTGTACATGCGTGTGTTCATATATGCATGTGCATTTGTGTGTGTGTGTGTATGTCAGGACAGCACAGTCAGTATAACAATTGGCTATGGGCTGGACAGCTGGGGTTCGGTTCCCAGCAGGGGCAAAAATTGTTCTCTTCTCCACAGCATCCAGACCAGCTTTGGGCCCCACCCAGCCTCTTATCCAGTGGGTACTGGGGTTATTTACCTGGCGGTACAGCAGCTAGGGCTGAGAACTCACCTCCATCTACAGCCAAGGTCAAGAATTGTGGGGCTTTATCTCCATTCTCCCATATGTCTTCATGGCATAGTGCTTAATTAATTAGGCAAACAATAACTTTACTTTTTACGTCTGCATGCAAATATGTGAGACTGCAGAATAACACATCGGAACGGACCACACAGAAAACATATCTTTTAGTGCTAAGGAGGGGTGCTTACTGGTCTCTTACCTTACATCGTTCTGTTGCATGCGTAGGCTTAGCGGGAATGCGTTTAACGAGTCGTTGCCTAGCAATGGGCATACACGTCACAATAGTTTTCGCCTTTGTGAAGTGTACGTACCGCACACATAGCATATAGTCTCTGAGAGCAGAGCCACATTTATAAACAAGGTGTTTCACGACTTTAGGGCGTAACTGCAGGAGGTGATTTCCTAGGTCTTTGTGATCAAAAAAGTTCATATAAACATGTGTCCGATTTTGGACGGTTACGGAGTTATGACCGTTTTTTCATTCCCATACACGCCCTCGTGTGAACCGCGTCTGTCACCTGTCGGGTCGCTATTTTTAGCCAGCTACAGACAGAGCGTTCTCGTTATCTCGACACTTGAGATGTAGTACCTAAGGCGTGGTGGGTTGGTATGTCCGGCGCGGGTCACAACCGAGCGGCAGCCTGTGTTGCGGCCGGCGGTGGCATTTTCGAAAATCAGCTTCAAGCACCAATCAATTCAAATTAAAGGTAATTTCACGAAGTTAACTTTACATTCATACTTTAAATGTATCATGTATTATGCTGGTTTATTATTTTGTTCCGTTTATTGTCAGTAATCGTTACCTTCTATTCTGAGTTTAAAACGGTCATAACTCCGTAACCGTCCAAAGTGGGACACATGTTTATATGAACTTTTTTGATCACAAAGACCTAGGAAATCACCTGCAGTTATGCCCTAAAGTCGTGACACATCCTATATAAGTCTTGCAGCTGTTTACTGAGCTCATAGCGCTGCCTCCAAATGCCGTTTGCATTAAATGCTATGGCTTTGAGCAGCCTATGAATTGTAGCAGCCATGTGGTTTCATTGGCCGGTCACGGTAGCCGAGCGGTCTAAGGCGTGCACTGTCTTCGCTCGCTCGGAAGCCGGGATCGTGGGTTCGAATCCCACTCAGGGCATGGATGTTTGTGTGCGTTTTTCTGTGCTTGTCTACAAGTAGAGGCCTTGCGACGAGCTGATCACTCGCCCAAGGAGTCCTACTGAATGTTTAAGATCTAGTAAACCGAAGTAAAAAGAAGAGTTTCCTGGAGGTAGGCCTAGGCCCAATTTGGGGCTGTAGCGCCACAGAAAAAAAATGTGGTTTCATTAAGTTTCACAGATGAGCTTCGTTACATAGTCTCGACATGGACCGCACGAAGAACATGGCTTCCACCGTTTCCTCATAAGAAACTCAGTACAGCTGTACCTAGGTTGGACTCCTGCCTCGGTTCACTGATATGACGAAAAGTGTTACGAGTAAATGCTTTCCTCAGTCCTTGTAGGTAAATAATGTAATATTTCCTCATGGCTGATTCCACGTCACGTGGTCAGCGCAACGAATCCCCATGACCATTAATTTCTGTTTTCTAGACCGGAGCCGCTATTTTCTTGAAATAGGTCCTCAATTATCCTCACGAGGCTGAGTGGACCCCGTTCCGGATTCACTACTTCTCAGAAAATCTGGTAGCGCCGGGAATCGAAACCGGACTTCTGGATCTGTAGGCAAAATCTCTGACGACTAGTACACAGTTTTACGTAACTGTATTAGCACAACTTACGGCGGGTTCCGCGACGTATTGGTGTCGAATCGACCTAAAGTTTGTGGCATTCTTTCCTCCAACGGACCTGTAGAGCACGCTCCCGAAATTCGGCCGATACGTCGCGAAATACACAGCATAATCAAAAGTAATTTCAATCGTTGAGGTCGTTAGAACTTCCAATACAAACGACTGGATGGGTAAATCAACTCAGACGGTTGTGGAAATCATAATTTGAGGTATTATCGCAGGATAGGCGGGCTCCGGGCTCAGGTGGGTCCCCGGGATCTCCCGAACAGAAAGTGGCAGTACTACCCGCTTCGCCGCGACGTTTGGCTTGTACAGTGAAATATTTCTCGAGATTCTATTAGGGGAACCAACCAATTATAGCCTAAACACATATACAACTTGCCCACATTACAGCAGATGTTGGAAATTATATCTGTTGTTATGTACGCATTCCTAACACCTCCCTAAAAAACTCATATTTACGCGTTTAAGTTCTTGGGAAATCTCGTAATAACAAAATTTGAAACTCCTGTTTCCTGTGCAAGGCGTGTTTGAAATGTTCAAGAAAAACGTTCAAGCACAACATCGAATTCGTCGAGTTTTTCTTCAATGAGCATTCCGTGTTTCGATTCTTTTAGTGGCTATACCCTTTCGTAATTTATTTTAGATTATAGATTTTGGTATATGAAAAAGTACGACCTTGAAATTTACGCCCGAATCTTCTTACTTTCCTATACAACTTGTTCACGTAGGTATCCACAGGACCGGCACAAGATATTCTGTCACCCCAAGCGAATAACATTCTTGACTTTATTCTAAACTGTGCCCCACGAAGGGTCCACATGGACTGTTTGTCATTTCGAGCCGGCCCTGCGTACCAGGACATCACTGTTCGTTTGTCTGGTGTATATTTCACTCGTGTCCCCGAAACAGCACAAATATGGAAAAGCGTAATTTGCTTGGCAACAGTCATACAACAGCACAAAAAAAAAATGAAAGAAAGAAGCAACGCCGCCTCCTAATTTCTTTCCGACTATGGCTGGAGTTCTTTAAGTGTTGTTTTCATCGTTGCAGTCTGAAGAGATGCAACCAGCCATTAATTATCTTTCGAATCTTACAACAGAATGTTATATTTGTTTCGTGGATGTTACTTATTCACTGTATTTGAAGACCCTTCAGCTTGACGGGCCCAGAGTTATCGCCTGGCTGGTTTATATACGTAAAACCGGCACTGTCTGTGAAATTTCACATTTGTATGAGCGACTGATTCCACAGTAATCAGTTCAGAAAATATATTCTGCGTATAACATCCTGTTTCTGGTGGCATTGCTAGATTACTTTGGATAATGAAGATGTGTATTAAATCACTGAACACACACACATTGTGGGGTCTCAATAATCCAGGTTAATTGGACTCAGGCTTAAGGAAATTAAAGTTTCTACAGAAAAACCCATTCGTACAAGGATTACTGATCATATGACCGAGTTCAGGCTGGAATTCGATTGACCAGTTTGGAATGAAACGTAATCTACCTGTAGTAATGAGTACACTTGGAGAATAATGTTGAGATGACAGCGAACACGCATCTTTAATTAAGCATGTACATTTATACCGTGTATCATGCCTGTTGTGTTTTTACAGGTTCACTAAATCCTTGATATAAATCTGAACTGTAAACGGCTTTATACTTCTCATAAATTTATAACGTGTAATCAGTATTCTTACCTGACCCATTTTTTCCCAGCACAACTGTCAACTTCCGCAAAGGACCAACAACAATTTCTCCCACATACGTTTTGAAATTATTAATTTTTATATAGGATAACATCCTTGCACTACCAGTCTACTGTCACTATCAGTTCCTCTGAACCTCTGTGAGGGCTGTGAACACCGGTGTACACAGTCAAGGTGTGAAGCGTGTGAACCGTGTGAACATCGGTCACTTGAGGGACGATTGTTTCAACGTCAACAATGCTACCAACGGAACAATAAAATGAATATTTCTTGCCTTTGAACATTTGTTAAATAGATGGATGGAACCGTGGTCCGTTTTTATACAATTCAGCACTTTCCTAGTGCTAATGAGAAAAAGCGGGAAATATTCTTCTAATAATATCGGACGGACATACTATAGGCATTACTCAGAACTCTTGGGACATGAAGTGCAAAAGCTACTATAAACCAGTGTTAACAACGCCGTAGCACTTGATCCGTGGTAGTACTTAACACTCAGCTAAGCTGTTATACTTCCAGCGCGGTCTCAGGCGTCTCAGGCGTCCGGAGTATTCATTGTCTCTAGCCCCTCGGGCGCTTATGTTATGATTAAAATTCCGTCCGGGGACACGAATATTCGTGTATATTACTTTTTTGTAGGTCAATAAGAGGCGCTGGAGCTTATCTTCCTGTTAAGAAATATAATATTTTAAAAGAAATGCGAATCTCTACATACTGCAATAAATACATGAAGAACAAGATGATATCAACAGGTTCTTTCGAAATGTTGGTAACAACCTACAAAATTACAGAAGTCATGACACAGAGCATCAACATATTGAGATTATATTTACACCAACTTAGAATGATACAGCGAGAACTAAAAATATGGTTTCATTGCATAACTCTGAAACTGAAGTTACTTTTAACATAGCGCAATGAAGCTATCTATCATTCTGCCAGACAGTAGTTATAGTATTTCCCTAGGTGAGGTCTAAATGTATGTTGGCAGAATTGCTGATTCGGTCGTGAGTTGTGGAGAGGGGAGATTTTTTTTTTCCTACCAGTCGTAATTTAACCAATGAGCGCACTCAATTATGAGGCGAGGTGGGTGCAGTTTCAATTTGAAATTTAAGTCGTTTATTCTAATATGGTGTTACATTAGTAAAGAAAGCGTAGACTTTGTACTTTGTCTTGAGTTTTACTGTTTCGAATTTTGTTGGACATTGTGTACCCTAGGCAAGAAATGGATGGTGCAAAAATTTGTGGCCCATATAAGGCTACAAAAATGGTAAATATACAGTTACTTCATTTATTTTGATATGCATGTGTCTGTTTTATGAGATACTTCGAAATTAGGCAATATCATCTCGGTAATCATACCGTAAATGTGATACATATAAGTTATACTGTAGTAGTTTCAGATGCGCAAATCCGAAAACTTTAGAAACCCATTTATATTTCGTTTATGGAGTTATTCGCAGACACTTCACGTCGTGTTCTATGTAGTTATATGGATGGCAGTTCGAAGTTCCACCAATATTATGTCTTTTATCTAAATATATTTTGGGTGTTCAAATATGTTGTGTGTTTCATCCCCCTTTATGGCTTAAGAATCGAATTTAACAATCTGCAAAGCTAATTTTATTATTATAATTATCATGGCATCAGTTACTGTATGCTTAGACTTCAAAGTGGGAATGCCACAGAAGAAATATGTGATATTGAACATTGGCCTTTAGTATTTGTGCATGGAACAACTATGCTGACAGATGTTCAGGTTGAGCTGATCCTAGCAGGCCTAGCTTCACACTGTTTGTAGTATAAATTCCATTATTGCCAAGTTTAAATACAGTCGCCAGCCCTGCAGCAGCAGAGATTTAAATCTAGATGATAAAGATTAAAATAATAACAATTGATGTATTTATTTTTGTGTTTTCCAGTGGAATGAAATGGTTGAAACATTTAGGAATGGAATTCCTTTAAAAAGACATCGCCGCCATATAAAAGTGTATGACCACTGCTTCACAGGACAGGAAGCTGTGAACTGGTATCAGTCAGTTCTGCAGGACTGTTTTTGTCTAGGAAACAGTGTAACACGTGAACAGACAGTTCAACTGTTGAATAAGTTCCTGAAAGCTGGTGTCTTTCAGAATATCAGTGCAGCAACTCCATTTGATATTCATTACCAGTTTCTCAAAGAAGGTGATCTGTATCAGTAAGTGCACTTGAAACATTTCTGTATGCATTCTACCCAAATGTGGAGGTGGGGGATTAGATTGAAATGGTTATCTGTGTAGAGAATTTACAAGAATGGGTGTTTATTTTAATGAGATCTGATGCATTCCAGAAACATTTGTGCTGTATGTTTGCAGTCTCATTTTAGCATGCAGTAAAATTTCCGTACAGCAAAGGCCATGGTATGAAACTATTGCAGAAGTCTGATGAAATTTAGCTGCAAGGAACTGTACTTCACTCTTGAGTCAGATTAATAGGCCTAATTATAAAACTATATAAAAAGAGTTTTCAGNTCCTGTACTTTCAAATTACTGTCAACAGTAGAGCAGCGGTTCTTGCGTTTGGGGTTGCCAATTTGTTCATGTTCGTTGAAAATCTTGGGGGGAGCAGCAACAGGCTATCGATTTGTTCCCGTCCGTTCTAGTTTTTTTTATTGCTAGTGGGGTGGGACTAAGCCCCTTGTCCTGCGACCACTTCTGGCCTATTGTACCAGCCCCAGATAGGTGAGGGTGATTGTGGAGCAATTGGTGGAATGAAGATTGGCAGGGGAAACCGAAGTACTCGGAGAAAACCTGCCCCAGCGCCACTTTGTCCACCACAAATCTCACTTGACCAGTCATGGGATTGAACCAGAGCTGCCACGGTGGGAAGCTAACAACTAACCGCTTGAGCTGTGGCGCGGCCTTAAGATCTTATGATTCACTCTGTTTAAGGAACTAATCGCAGTTTATTCTGAGAATGATACAAAACCCGTAAACTGCATGGCCAATATATGGAGTGCTCTAGTGTGAAAGCAGGTGGTGTATGTAGTAACTGCTGCTTTAAAGTGTTAATGTTGATACTCATGAATCGCTATTCTTATTTTCTTCAAACTCTGTATCATTGCTACCTTAACATGCCTCTCCTTCCTCCAGGACATCAATGCTGTACTTATGTCTGTCATGATAACTAGTTCATTGTGAATCAGATTCTTTTAATTTCTAGCTGCACAAGGCACGAAAGTTAGTGATTCATGCAAATCCTTCCTGAGCAAGAAGTTCGCTCAAGTGGTGTTCATCTATCACTATACCTGAAGGGATTATACTGTATGGGTATCAGATTGTTTAATAGCTTACCCTTATATCTAAAGCAGTTGTTCACTAATTGTAAAGATTTTAAAATTGCTTTGAAGGATTTCTTGATTTCTCATTCATTTTATACTTTGGATGAATATTTTGAATGTTGCAGATCTAAGGATAGCATTTCCTTGTAGTAATTTATGTGGATGAGTACATATATGTCTGTGGTTTGTTGATTGTTACCTAAATTTGTGGTATTTTAAAAGTTATGATTGATATTATGTCAGTCTATTATAAATTTTGTATTTTAATTATGTAATTTATAATCTTATTACTTATTAGCGATGTACTCATTGACACCGTTCCTGCTAACAGTCTCAAATTGAAGGACATTTAACTTATATTTATGTAATTTGTATTCTTATTAATTTTTTGATTAGATTGTTATTGTGCAGAATCACTGTATTTGACTTGTTCCATATCCTATGGTGTCTACCTGTATCTGGATTTTACGGAATGTAAATAAATTGAATTGAATTGAATTGAGTGGTAACACTTCCAACCTGTATTTAGGAGATATGTTCTTCAGATCTCAGCTTCAGCATCCACTGTTGCTGATATGTTTTTCGTGGTTTTCCTCAGTCCCTCCAGACATGTTGGGGAAGTATCTTAAATTAGGCCATTACTGGCTCCTTCTATATCTTTTCTAGTTAATTTTTCGCTACCATCCATCAGTTATATAGTCTCAGTTACTGATGGTGCCTTTAAATAAACTAAAGATAAATAAATACAAACCCTTTTATGGTGAATATGTGGGAGATCTATTGACATAACATTCCATATATGTATCTGAGTAATATTGCAAGCATTTTGTGTCCAATATTTTTAGAGAGATGTGATATTAAATAAACTAAAGTTCTGAAATTGTGTAAAAGTAAGTTATAAGAACAGTATTTCAAAGATATCTGACCTCATGCATATAAATCCTTTTATTTCCATAAATTTTTTTATACAACAGTATGAAGAATAATGCAAGAAAGTAGGAATGCCTCCTAAAATTAGGCAGAAGGTAATTGATTTGTTATCTTTAATGTCAGAAAAGACCCAGAATAGGGTGCAGTAATTGTAGTCACACAGTCATTGTGTTCGTGCAGCTATATTTGGTAAAGCAGATTACAAGAATTGACAAATGTCATTTTAATGATGGTAAAATTAAACCATTTTTTTTTTTCTTATAATCGTTGGTATGTTGTGTAATTTTAGCATCATTATGTTTCCCCTCTTTTCTTTCTATTCTTACATTGTTCTCAGTCCAAATAAAGACCAGTGAAACTAATTCGGAATATGTGATATTGCATTAAACCTTGATCACATACCCACTGCCTAGATTTTTTTAAGGCTGATGTCAAAACTTACATTTTTACATTTTATGAGAAGTAAGTTTATTTTGATATATAGCCTAAATTTTTAAATAAAGTTATATTGTCTAAAAGGACATATGAAGTCCATTTTATAACTTCTCTGAACATATTTTCAGTAGCACTTCTATAATTCGGACTTTCACTAACTAGTCCAAATTATTGAAGCTTTACTGTACTTCATACCTTTAATTGCAGTGTTCTTATTCTGTGTAGACTGTCAGACATCAACAGTACAAGACTACCTCTGGCCCATAAGTCATTAAATATTCCACCTAAAAGCGGACTGAATCAGTGGTCTGCGGACAACAAAGAGGGAGTCCCAAAGAAAGGCAGTACTACCGCATGTAGTCAACCAGAAATGGCTGAATCCAGGCTAGATACACATCGTACTCTCACTACCAGGAGTTCTGTAAAGCAGCCAATAGTTGGTAACTTCAATCACCATGTGTCACCAAATTTCTTCACACCTGCATTACCACTGTCTGACCAACTTATCAGGAGTAAAAATGATATGCAGTTTGAAGCACATTACAGGGGGAGCAGTATTAATCAGATGAATAAAGATTATGGAACGCACGACACAGGTCATGAAAATTACACTCACTCAGGTGTTCATCATAGTCGTCAAGGTGCACGTGAACACCATAGCACTCAACATTTGTCTACTGGTGAGAACCAACATACAGGAACTTCTGTGAATTGTAATGGGAGATACTATATTTCATCAACTGAGCAAGATAAAATGTACCCTGGAAGGATCATGATGAACGGGCACTCCAGAAATGAGAAAACCAGTATTTGCAGTCCAGGTAATCCCAAGGATAATAAAGATCTTGGTAGTCCTAGATCATATGCAGAATCTTGTAAGTGGCTGCAGCCACTTATCTTGGACAGTGCGGACACCTGTGATATGGAAAAGAGAATTTGCATTGAGCAACCACATGCACCTTCTTCCACAACTCTGGGTTACAAACACTTCAGAACTTCTCCAACTTTGACAAGGTCCCAGACAATCCAGAGGAGTGCAAGTATGATACAAGCAAAAGTAGATCTCAGTAAGCCGCAGGTAACTACAAATCATGATTCGAGAAAATCTCTGCATAATGAGAAGCTTCCACAAGGAAGTGCAGATGGAAGTGGTTTGACGAACCCTGTTTGCTGTGATGTAAGCAATGCAACTGTAAGGAGAAACCCATGCTTAAATGTACATACTGCTGAAAATAACATTGACCAATGTGGATTAGATAATGGGAGACAGATTCAGTATTATCCAGCATCCACCTTGCAGTGGAAGAGTAGCCAGAATAACATGACTAGTTCTGTGATGCAGAAAGAAAGGAACCTTTCCAGCAGGTCTGGAAGTTTCAGATTTTCAAGATCACCCTCTGAGGAACCTATTACTTCCACAGTTCCTGGGCTTACTCAGCCTTTCGAAATCGGGGAGATTTGGAAGAAAGTAATCTTGGCTAGGTAAGGCATTGACTGCATGTATATGAGTTCGAACCACAAAGTACTGAGCACAAAAGAAAATTGATATTCATTTGATATTACAATTTTGAATAGATGCTTTGAATTTGAGCTTCCCATGACAGTGATTATAAAAGATATTATCAGCTGGGATGTGACTGTGTAGTCTGGTAGAAGTAGAAGTAGAAGTTTACACCCGAGACGATGGTATTCTTCACAGATGAATGTTTTAAAGTCAGTCCAAGTGCTTTGACAACATTATCTTTATATGGAAATTCATTAAAAGGAATAAAGCCTACCTTTAATATAATTTATAAGGATTTCCTCAGATGAGTATACAAATTATTCCCCTACTTCATTCCGGTTCTTAAATTTTCCATAGAACTGATTATCAATTCCAGGTTTCAAAGACATACGCCAGGGTTGGAGGTTCCGTTCGGTTTATATTTGCATAGCATTCCTTGTGAGTGGCTAACTGCAAATGCATCTAGTGAGCTTCACTTTCAACATGACTCACAATTTCCTCAGTCTCTGGTGGCTGCTATGAATTGCCTTGTACATTGTAAGTTTTTCTGCAGTAGTAATTTCTGTTTTGCTTTACATTGTACCTTTTACATAATTTTTCACTGAATTCTCCTTTTTCAGGGCCTCAGACTGTGCCAAGTGAAATCATAACAGCCTTTAAAGAACATTACTTCAAGTTGAAACAGCCTCTGACCACATTTAAATTGTATTCTATACTGTCTAAAGTATTTTTATATGTTGCAACCGGCAATTTAGCCATGAGTAAGGAGATGGTATTAAGACAGTCAGAATTGAGTTCCAGTAGTCCTCTGACCATGGCATTACCGCCTAATTCTTGTTTTGAAACTGCATTTACTTCAGACAGTCCTGTAACTCGCATTGTACCTCAGCGTTGTGTAGACACTTTACATTTTTCACACCATGGACAACAACCTAAGAATATTCCACCAAAGAGAATTTCAAGTGCTCCAAACTTGTGTGAGCCATTACCAGACGTTCAGGCAGCTCAGAAAAGAAACAGTCGATCTAGAACAAAGCGCCAAATAATTGGCGGGAGGCGTGTGATGAAACTGGCTAATAAGAAGGCAAGTAGGAGAGTCAGAATAAGAATGGATGAAGACAGAATGAGCCACTTTCGTAATAATTCAGGTGGTTATGTGAACCCTGCCCTGTCTAAGTCAACTGATGATATTATTGATACAGATGATTTTGTAGACACTGCAAAGATCCAGTCACAACACAACTTTGAAGTTGAACAAGAACTTGATTATATTGCAGCTTTGGAAAGTCTGAATACCTTAATGAGATGCAGTCGTCGGGATAATACATCTGTTGCTGTGAGTATGTTTTACAGGCTGTTTTCTCCTGTTAAATTAAGTGTTAAAATTTAAGCATTATTAAAACTGTACAAAATGAAGTTTCAGTTTGTCAAGAATAGTGGTGCTGATGAGGAAGAACAATATGTCACCCATCCATTTTCATTATCTATATTTTTACTGTTGGCCTCCTGTTGCATGTATATCTTGTTAGATCATTATCTATACCGTAGCAGGCCTGATATATATGTGTGGGATGTTGATGTTCGTTGGAACAACCACATAAAACTATAACAACAAATGTTTATTGCACTTAGAATGGGTATTACAGGTGAACAGGGAGTGTGTCTGAAGGACACCGATGGAGTCTTCCCTCATAGTGGCTAGCCCGGTCTAGTGATGATGGTGCTATTGGAGGCCCTGAAAAGGGCTGTTTGTCTGACGCCTTCGTTACAGTGAGCTGACCAGTGCGGCATGTTTCCTTGTAGCAACCCAGTGATTGCAAGCTGGCGGGATAGCAGTGAGTCTGGCTCGCTGGCTGGCAGGCCTACAGTGCATGCGCTGGCAGTCACTGGTAGAGTCAGCTGTGGTGTTGGTACCAGAAGTGTCACTGCTGCAGCGATACCTGGATGCAGGTGTAGCTATGACTGATGTGACTGATGCTAGCATGTCCAAGGCCAGCATCTTTATGCTCTTGACACTAGGCAGCACACTAACAAATAGACGTAACTGCTGTGGTGATCAGTGATTTGGTAGCGCTTGTGCGACAGTACAGACAGCCAGGTTGCAAGCTGTACTGTATAGATATTGACTACTCATGGTACACTGTGGCAGTTGAGTTGTCTGACTATGGGGTGGTCCCACATATTCGTCCACACTGTTTCTAATGTAATTTTATATCTTTCCTATGTTTTCTTTTCACATAGCCCTTGCTGTGCCTAATAGCCATTTTTTACTGTGTATGTTTAATTTTATATAAATTTTATCACCAAATTCTCAATCCTTAGTTTTGTTAGTGAGCATACTTCCTGTTACGGATTTGCCACATTTATTCTCAATGTTGTATTTTAGCATCATGTTGCACTGATTCTCATCCATGATACATATGTAATGGCCGTCTTGTAGTGCACTCAGTTTCACATGTCACTTCCCTACATATTTCGGCAACATAGTGCCATCCTCAGGTGCGTTATTTATGCTAAGCTATTGCATTGCTTGCCATCATGTGTTTCATAAAATTATTAAAATGTACATTCTTCATCAACTATAAAAAAATTTGTATACACTAAAACTTGTTAAGATTATTCATCTTATACATCTTAATTCAAACTCGCGTATTGTATGGTTCCTCCACTATGGGAGTCGTTTTTCCTATATTTTTTGTATACTGTGTCTTGTGATGTGTCCTTCCTTTTTGGCTGCGAGTGTTGTTATTCTCACTGACCAGTACAGTGCTGCTTTGACTCTTATTGGTGAGATGTAAGTTTTGACAGCTTGTGCCAGTAATGTGTAGAGTTTCAGTAAGTTTGCTGTCTGCCACTTAGAGCAGCACCATAATATTTGTATCACTATGTAATTACCTTGGAAGAGAATGAGTCTGATAGTGCCACTTCCATAATTAGTACAGCGTGTAATATATGGCCACTTCTCATCTTATGCAGTAGTTGAGTTCTTGAAAATGAGTGCCCAAGACAAGTACAGGGTGATTCATATAGAACCGGCCTGACGAAATGAGCTGTAATATAAAATATACCATACAGATATTAAAGTAATTTACACGTATCTTATCTTGGATTGTGTGCCGTGATCAGAGCAGGTGTTGAAAGTGTCCGCCGTTTTCAAGTAGGCACTAGAAACGCTCGCTGTTCAACAGTGTACTCCATGACTGTCGCCTGCGCCCTGCAGACACGTTTCAGGATTGCCCTTGACCTTGCAGCATAAGGGCTGCCACTTGCCAGATCATGCGCACACCATTCGACTCAGCACTGCCCACGGATTATTATGTCATAATTGTGAGCGGTTATATGCATCACCTGCGGAATTATTAGCAAATTCATCGGGCCGGTTCTATATGATTCACCCTGTATAATCTTCTCATAAGAATTAATGGAAGGGGTAGGGGTTGGGGGAAATGCTGTCTCAGTAATTGTTTGAACTTCCTTTTCCTTCACTGTTTTATTTTAAACGGTACATCAAGTAAGATCTAAATTTTATGATGATGGTACATTAGTGCAAATGTTATATTTCTGAACATTATCCATTGTCCTGTTTTTAGTTAAAACAACGTTTTGGAGACTGGATTCAGTAATTTATTGAGTGAAAAACAAGGTGGTCCAATGGTGTTATAAATAATTGTGTGTAGTGGCCATTCAGGCGTGTGGTATATCTTTTCAGGTTGGTGGGAAAGTTACAGAGGCAGAATCTGATGCAGACCAGAATGGAAATCAGAGCAGTGAAAGTAGTTCGTACTACACTGCAGTATCCAGTTCCAGCTCTTGCTCGGAAGCTAGTTCATGGCGAAGTAGCGTTTTGGTTGACAGCCTGGAAAATGTGAATACAGGTATTGGAACCCTGAGAAACACCGCACCGGTGTCCTCTTGTGCTTGTGCTACAGTACAAGTATGATGCTTTTCTATACTGTGAAGATTTAGGCTTCTAGGGCCTGTTGCAAGTCTCACTACGGATCAAACCACTTTCAGGTTTCCCAACATTTTCTCTTCCTCGAGTCTGTAATGTACTGCTGTCTTAGACAGGCTGATGATAAGTGATAAAATTAATTTTCATTGAATGCATCCTGTTGTGTATCATATATTGTAATTTGAGTTGTAATCCATCTTTCCTTCAGATCGGACATTTACACAACAGAGTCGCCCGTCAAATAGTATCAAATATTAAATAATAACATACAACATAACAACGGGCCTCCGAAAGCCACATCAGCCATTGTGTATATAATATGTTCGTTTAAACATTACATACATTATGATTACAACTGCCACCTTCCAGATACCATCACACATACAACTTTTAACTATACTTTGACTATGTAACTGGTTATTTAAGACTTAAACTTTTATTGTAATTTATACTTTATATTCAATCATATAATTTCATACCATTATAGCTATACACTTGGAAGTTTAGCACTGACATGCAATTCAATAACGAAAAGTTTAATGTATTTGCCTGATGATGGCCTTTTGAAGGCCGAAACATGTAGCAAAAGTATCTCCTAGAGCTACTTACACATATTACTGATTGTTGTGTTGTGACGGTTTTCAATAAGAAATGATAAAATTAACAAGTCTTGGCTACTAATTATGGATTCTAAAACAGGCAGTGGGAAACAGTTTTTATGCCTGAATAGAGAATTTACTTGACCTTGAAGCAGAAGTGTTTAGCATGCATGTAAAGAGCCATCCCAGTTCATAATTGACAAACATGTATTGACTTGGTTCTCTGCTGCTTTTATAGCGATCACACTAGATATATTAATTATGAATGTAGCATAACTTGATTTCAGGGTTGAGTGACTTTTCTGTTTGAAAAATGTTTCTGGGTATAATCAGAATTGTGGAGGTCCTTGTGTAACAATACACATTGAAATTTCAGCAACAAATAACTTAGTAACTGGAGATGTTCTGGAAGGACAGCTGTATTTACACTTAGATACTAAACTTGATAAAATAATAATATGAACTAATTAATGCTGTTATCTAAAAGAACATTTTTTAAGTGGAGTAA